TCTTAGAAACCTTTTCACAAAATGAAAATAATTGAACTTCAATGTTCATTTTCAACAGTATTAAGACTAGTTGTGAAAGTTTGTAAGACAATTCTTTATGTTAAAATACTAGAAAACAGTTTACTAAATTTTTGTTTCCTAGCTCAAATTTTTAGTACACATTTTTAGACAATTCTTCATTTAAAATACTAGAAAATTGTATACTAAATTTTTGTTTCCTAGCTCAAATCTTTAGTACACTATATTTTTTTTGAAAATAAAGGTTTTTTTTGTAGTTTAACTATGGCTTATGTAAATAAATTTATAACTTTATAGCAAATGTCTTTTGTAAGACGTTTCTTAATCTAAAAAATACTAGAAATTATTGGAGAAAATCCAAATTAAGATTTTATTTCAAAATTGTAAAAGAAATCTTTCTTTTTTCAAATTTTTATGGCACAAACACGTTATTGCTCAAATGAGTCAAATTGGCCTGGAAATAAACAAACAAAAACAAAATCAAGTTAAATACAATTGCATTTTATATATTGAAAAAAAAAAACTCTTAGAAACCTTTTCACAAAATGAAAATAATTGAACTTCAATGTTCATTTTCAACAGTATTAAGACTAGTTGTGAAAGTTTCTAAGACAATTCTTTATGTAAAAATATTAGAAAAGAGTAAAGAAAATGTTTGTTTCTTTGTGGAAATAAAGGTTTTTTGTAGTTTAACTATGGATTTTGTAAATAAATTTATAACTTTAACTTATTTAATGTTATAATACTAGAAATTATTAGAGAAAATGCATATTAAGATTTTATTTCAATGCTCGTAAAAATTGTAAAAGAAATCTTTCTTTTTTTCAAATTTTTAACTCAACAGAAATTATGAAATAAAGTAAAGTTTGGAATTAACACAGAATGAAAATAATTGAACTTCAATGTTCAATGTTAATTTCCAACAGTATTAAGACTAGTTGTGAAAGTTTGTAAAACAATTCTTTATGTAAAAATACTAGAAAACAGTTTACTAAATTTTTGTTTTCTAGCTCAAATTTTTAGTACACTACATTTTTTGTGTGGAAATAAAGGTTTTTTTTGTAGTTTAACTATAGATTATGTAAATAAATTTATAAATTTTGTAAGACATTTCTTAATCTAAAAACACTAGAAATTATTGGAGAAAATGTATATTAAAATTTTATTACAATGCTCATAAAAATTGTAAAAGAAATCTTTCTTTTTATTTCAAATTTTTAACACAACAGAAATTATAAAATAAAGTAAAATTTTCGATTTTCACAGAATAAAAATAATTGAACTTCAATGTTCATTTTCAACAGTATTAAGACTAGTTGTGAAAGTTTGTAAGATAATTCTTTATGTAAAAATACTAGAAATCAGTAAAGAAAATGTTTGTTTCATAGCTCAAATTTTTAGTACACTGCATTTTTTGTGGAAATAAAGGTTTTTTTTATAATTGAACTATAGATTATGTAAATAACTTTATAACTTTATAGCAAATGTCTTTTGTAAGACGTTTCTTAATCTAAAAATACTAGAAATTATTGGAGAAAATGCATATTAAGATTTTATATCAATGCTCATAAAAATTGTAAAAGAAATCTTTCTTTTTTTCAAATTTTTAACACAACACAAATTATGAAATAAAGTAAAGTTTCGAATTTTCACAGAATGAAAATAATTGAACTTCAATTTTCAATCAAATATAATATGAAGAAATAAATTGATGTACTCTGATTTTTCATTTTCAACAGTATTAAGACTAGTTGTGAAAGTTTGTAAGACAATTCTTTATGTAAAAATACTAGAAAATAGTTTACTAAATTTTTGTTTCCTAGCTCAAATATTTAGTACACTACATTTTTTTGTGGAAATAAAGGTTTTGTTTGCAAACGTCTTTTGTAAGACGTTTCTTAATCTAAAAACGCTAGAAATTAAATGAGAAAATCCAAATTAAGATTTTATTTCAAAATTGTAAAAGAAATCTTTCTTTTTTCAAATTTTTAATACACTACATTTAATTTATGAGTAATTATATAAGAAAATAAAGGTTTTTCGTAGTTTCACCATAGATTTACGTAAATAAATTTATAACTTTGTAACAAATATTGAAAAGCAAAAAAGAAACTCTTAAAAATTAATCAATGAAACAATAACAGCTTGAATATTTTAACAAAATTAGAATAATTGAATGAAAAAATGCTAAATTTACAAATAAATACTAGAAATTATAACAATAAATATATTTTACTAGTAAAAATATTACAATCCAAAGATTTAAACAATTATTACATTAAAGTTATCTTTCATCAAGTTTTCATTATAAAAATATCAATTAGTTATTCAAACTAAATATTTTGTAATTTGTACAAACATTATATATAAATTTAATGAAAGAAATTGAGATTGTCTTGAAATAAAAAAGATTTAAACTTGTTCTTGGATGAGCACGTTTATCTTATTTTTTGTGTGTGTGTGTGTGTTTGAAAGAATCGTGTAATTGGAAAAAGGGGGGATTCGGAGGGTGTAATGAAACGGTTAATCTGCTGGAGGCAGCGGCATGAATATTCCTGCTGCTGCTGCTGCTGCTGCATTAGAAGAACAATTATGATGTCGGCGAGGTTGCGTGGGTTAGTATTAATAATTTCGTGCGGCGGAGATTAGAAAGCTCTTCTACTGCTGTGTAGAACGAACCAACGATGGGAGGAAGATGAGATGTTGAAGAGGAGGAGGAAGAGAAGATGAAGACGACGCGCGTGATTAAATCCCCAGCCCTCGAGATTACTCTACGCGTGTATGGGAATTACATTAAATTAAATCGAAAAGTATCTCTACGTTGAGTTGCGACCCTCTTCAGATCCAACCAAAAACCCTCCCCCGAAACGTTATGTAAGAGTGAAATACATAAAGTGTAAATGCGAAATCGATTCTGTTTAATATCGCTGCTATACAAGCAGCGAGCTCTGAAAATTTGTGAGGAAGAGGAAGAGAACCTTATCGCGTTTAGACCACCGTTCCACTTTCACTTCGCGTTTCACTTATTCATAGAACCCATGGGGTGGTTTTTGGCTTCTCTCCCCTTGTACACGACTAGTATTATTATCATTATTATTATCCGGCTATCTCCCTCTAATTCCGACGGTGACGGCCTCCTGTCTAACTATTACGAAACGCGGCCGGTGTTTCCCATGCGATAACGCCGAAATGCGAACTTTTACTACCCCCGATTTTACCTTAAAAGATGCAAAAATATTACACGCTTACACATAAAAAGCTGCACGAAGCGAAACTGCTACACCATCAACACGAATATTAAATTATCTTTGAAATGTTTACTTCGACTCATCTCCATATGTATTAGATCTGATAAGTTTGGTTTTTATTAAAGTCGCCCTACAAACAACAACAACAACATCATCAACGTCACAAATATTTCAGCGAATTGGTTCAGATTTCATCGCACAAACTGGCTTTTACTGCATCACATCCATCCCCCCATATGTAATCATCCGCAAAACGTTCATAAATTACACTTATGTCGCTCCAAATTTTCTTATTTTGAATCGCAGCACTTTCAGAAATTGAACGAACAACTTTTCCCCATATTACATTTGCTTTCACTCATCGCAACAAAGACAATTTCTTTATTTCTCTTATTCAAATTAATATAACAAAACGCAAATAAATCTATATAAACTTTAATCAATTAATAGAAAAAAAAATCAATATTTTTGAGAATTTAATCAAATTTCATGAATTGTTAATTAATCACGTTACAGTAATAAAGCAGAAATTGTAGAAAAAAACAAATAATTATAAACGTTTTCTTTGTTAGGTTTTTAATCGGATTAAATGAAATCATTAGATTCTTCAAATCGATTTAGACTTAAGATTTTCTTTAGATCTTTTGAAACTTAAATAATCAACGATTTACAAAACAATTCTAATTTTAATTTACAAAAAAATAAAACTGATTAGTTTTCGTATTTGTCAAAACTTGATTATTCTAAATAAATTTATACACCAATACAAACAAATCTATTTTTTTTGAACTTTTATATAATCGGATTTTACGTAATAATTCAATTATGCGTATTGTAATTTAGTAATTTTTGTTTCCTAGCTCAAATTTTTAGTACACTATATTTTTTGTGGAAATAAAGGTTTTTTTTTGGATTTTGGATTATGTAAATAAATTTATAACAAATGTCTTTTGTAAGATTTCTTATTCTAAAAATACTAGAGATTATTCCAAATAAATTTATACACCAAGTCAATTATAATTAATACAAGAATATTAGCAAATAAAATTGACTAATTTTTATTTGAATTTTACAAATTTTCAAAAAGATATAAAAATTGTTAAGATTTTGAATAAATTTAACATGTTAATTGATTTCATTGAAATGAATTGAATGATTAGAACAAACAAATCTATTGTTTTGAACTTTTATATAATCGGATTTTACGTAATAATTCAATTATGCTTATTGTAATTTAGTAATTTTTGTTTCCTAGCTCAAATTTTTAGTACACTATATTTTTTGTGGAAATAAAGGTTTTTTTTGTAGTTTAATTTTGGATTATGTAAATAAATTTATAACTTTATAACAAATGTCTTTTGTAAGACATTTCTTATTCTAAAAATACTAGAGATTATTCTAAATAAATTTATACACCAAGTCAATTATAATTAATACAAGAATATTAGCAAATGAGATTGTTTTGAAAATTGATTAAATTTCAATTGAATTTTACAAATTTTCAAAAAGAAATAAAAATTGTTACGATTTTGAATAAATTTAACATGTTAATTGATTTCATTGAAATTAATTGAATGATTAGAACAAACAAATCTATTTTTTTGAACTTTTATATAATCGGATTTTACGTAATAATTCAATTATGCGTATACATTCTTCAGATCGATTTAATCAGATTTACGTTACGAAACAAACGCTTCGCTAATTAAAGCCTCCTTTGTATATATTTGTTTAATTAGAAACGTCTAATTAGCAGAAAAAAATGAAGAATAATATAGAATGAATAATGATTAAATCGTGAACGAAAACTGTAATGAATCGCATTAGGAGGGACGAAAATAACTGGATGAGATAATAATGAAGAGTGGTGAATTGCAAGGATAGAGAATGAGTGAGTGAGAAGAGTAGTGGTAGTAGTACATTTAAGTTTAATCAGACTGAACTTGTGGGAATACCGACGACCGTTCATAGAAACTTTGATGATGAGCGAGAGGTGAAAGAGAGAAAGACCGAATGAATGCCTTTTCCTCGATCGCTCAACCAAAAATCTCTCTCACTCGCTCTCACGCAATTTCGCCTTGACAACAAGAAAATAGAAAGAAATAGAAAAAGAGAGAGAGGACGTAATGAATGGAGCTTTAAATAGAGATTGGCAGAGGGCAGCAATTTACCCTATTCCATATTGTATACAGCATAAATTACATGCGAAATATTGAATTCAACTTTCTTTTATTGTTTCATTGCCGCAACAACAATATTTTCTGATATATTAATAATAATAATAGCCGAAAACAATGCCGCATGTTCAACTAATACTGAACACAAACGTGCGGTTAATGCGCTTTGTCCGTTTCCCCCCATTATTTAATTAAATAGGTTAATTAACCAAAGTTCCAAAACATTATTATTATCATCATCATCAATGGAATTTGCACAACATCAATATTAAAAAATTAATAATAAATAAATAATATCGTGCACGCATTAATTATAATCCTTCGGTATTTCCAATTAATTTCACAAATTAATTATTATGTTCTATTCTTGTTTCCATACTTTTGTTGTTGTTGTTTCAGTTAAAATTCTTCATTATTAATTTACAATTAATTCATTTAAACTTAATTGGAAATAATGGTTTTTCTTATTTTCGTTTCGTCCATGAAAAAAAAGGTTCAATAATCCTTTGGACTCGTTAAAGTATTTTCTTGGTATTTTTAGTGGAATTTCGTGACTAGAAACGAGGTTTTTCGTTCTAAAAATACATCCTTTGTAATTTCATGAAAATACGTGTAATGATGGAAATAAGTCGTGGGCGGTTCTACTCCATTACAAAGCAATTAACGAACGGTTATCAACGAAATAATTATATGGAATTATTAAGGAAAATGAAAGAAATTACAGAAAAAAATAAGGATTTCGTTTCTTTACGAAATATAATAGAATTTCTAATAATAATTAATGAAAGAATTGCTGTTTATAAGAAAATTAAATAATTTAGAAATCAAATAAATTGGTGGATGCGCCGGGATACTTTTTTTTAATTTGTTTAATTTTGTAATGGAATTAAGGAAATCTTGTTAATTTGATAAAATTGAACATAAATTAAAGATTTATCAATGATTTAGTGTGAAGGTTTAGTGAATCTTGAAATTTTATTTGATTATCAACAAATTTAAAGTAAATAATTTAGGGTTTAGTTGAGATTAATGAGATTTCGTTTCTTTACGAAATGTAATAAATTTTTCATTAATTATTAATTATTATTAGAAATAATTAACGAAAGAATTG